TCCCTGGTTGGTATCCTCCATGCTCAGCTTGAATGTCGTAGTGTTCCTTCATTCGGTCACTAGCACTTTGAATATTTAGGCGGACTCTCTGATGAATGTCGTCCATCCTTTGACGTAGTGTGTGGACATAATCTTCTCCGGCGACTTCTTCTCCCGGTCGGCAACCAAATTTCAGATCACAGGGTAGGCGCACTTCCCGTCCCATAACGATGCTGGCTGGAGTTTGCCCTGTAGATTCTTGGACGGATGAACGGTAGGCCAACAGGAACAGGTGAAGAAATTTGTCCCAGTCTCTTTGGTGGTCAGAGACTACTTTGGCCAGATAACGGTTGATAGTTCTGTTCATGCGTTCAACCATCCCATCGGATTGTGGATGTAGAGCAGTCGTCCTGGTCTTGCGGATGTTCAGGACTTCACAGACGCCTTGGAACAGATTGGACTCAAAGTTTCTTCCCTGATCTGAATGAAGCTCCATGGGAACACCAAACCTGCAGATCCATTCTTTAACAAGGGCATCAGCAATCGTGGACGCTTCTTGATTTGGCAACGCGTAGGCCTCGACCCATTTGCTGAAGTAATCCATTACTACCACAATGTATTTGTTGCCATCGTTCGTCTCCGGGAAAGGACCAGCCACGTCGATCGCTATTCGTTCGAAGGGACTACCAACATTGTACTGGCGCATAGGGGCTTTACCACGCTTTTGTGGCCCATTAATGGCTGCGCAAATGTCACATTTCTTACACCAGGCCCTCACATCTTCTTTGCAGTTCACCCAGTAGAACCGTTCACGCAGCTTGCCAAGTGTCTTGGTAACACCAAGATGTCTCCGCTGGTTCCATTGTGAACTTCCTCCAAGACTTCTGGGACCCTCTTCTTTGGAATGACGATCTGCCTTCTCTTCTTGTTGTCCCTCCGGTCTCTCGATCACACGGCGAAGTAGTCCGTTATCTATTACCAAGGAATTCCACTGGGCCCAGTACGACTTTACGTTCGGCGAATATCTGCAAACTTCTTCCCACGTTGGTCTCTGGTCCGCGTTTTTCCAGTTAATCACCAAGCCCAACTCTGGATCACTGATTTGATCATTTGCAAGATCTTCGGTTTGCCAACTACCACCAACCACAGTCGTCCTTAAGACTTTCACTTCTTTCTCTTCTTTGCAACGATTTCCCATCTGTCCGCAATTCCAACAGCGAATCGGTCCCCCCTTCTTACTCATATACTGATCCAGTACTTTCCGCACAATCCTTTCCACTTTGGAATCGTCGGAACTCTCCTCAACAGCCCGTACAAATCCTAGAGACCTAGAGCATTCTTTCGCGGCCTCAAATTCCAGGGCACGTGCTAGGGCATCTCCCAAATGCGTTGGATGAGCTAAAAGAAGTGTTTGCCTTGTCTCGTTGTCACATAAACCATCAATAAAAGCCTGTACTTTTAAGCGCTCCATAACATTTTCGGGCATAGCAGGGTACGCAAGGCGAACGAGGCGGGCTACGTCGGCTTCAAACTCCTGCAGAGACTCATTTGACTTTTGAATGCGATTTTTTAGCTGGGAATGATAGACATGTTCCAAATGAGCTTGGCCGTACCTCATTTCTAAATGTCGTACCAATTGCTGATAATCTCCCTGTTCCGATGGTACAATGTCTGCAGGATATCAGTCGCATCTTCTCGCAGTGCGACAGTCAAAGCGGTAGCCTTTTTCAGCGATTGTCCATCCGTTCGCTCTCGCAGCGGCCTCAAACTGGCAAAAATAATTGGCCCAAGCGGTTTTTCCGTCAAACTGTGGAGGCTTAATAACTGACTTTGAGATATACTTATTTTCGACTAGTTTCGGTGCCTCCGATGTTTCTTGACATTTTGGTGAATTGGCCTTTTCTATTTCTTGTTTTAAAATTTCGATTTTTCTATTTACATCTTCCTCAATCTCCGTTATTTTGTCTTGTAGTTCCGTAGAATTTTCTATAATCTTATTGTTTAAACTTTCTTCTAAATTAAGTATTTTGTCATTGAAACTGGCTTGTAGATCTTTAGAATTTTCTATGATTTTATCCTCTAAAATATTAATTAAATCCTGGGAATTTTCCATAATTTTATCTTTCAAACTGTCTTCTAATTTTTGAGAGTTTTCCGTCATTTTAGCTTCTAATTTTTGTAGGCACGAGTCAAGGTCACCTTCGAACTCAAAGCAAAATGTGTCCGGATCCTCGCCTTCCTCCCTCAAAACGTCTCTCAGTCTAGTTTGCAAAATGCTTTTCTTTCCATCTGTCTCGCACTCTCTCTCCAATATGGATTTCAGTTCGACACTTTCAAGTCTTTCAACAATTTCTTCGGAGCCATTGTTAGTCTTTTTTATTTTTCTAGTCTATCACACACGCCACACCTGACACCAATTGTTACGTTTTTCGTCGGTTCCGTGTGGATAGAAAGTCACAATTTATTTAAACACTATTTATTTAACACTAATTAACAAAAACAATAACGATAAAAGACTTATAGAACTATTTACAAACGATTTATAACTAAGAATTTATTTTGAATTTTAGCGCGTCAACTGCACTGGTATATTTATAACTGCCCCCTGTATTCCACGGCCGCCGGCTTTTATACCGGCAGGTAAAGAACTCTAGAATTGTCCATAGATCGTTAGGTGCGTAGAGAAGGTTTTCGAATGTTCTCGTATGTACTCGTCCATTCCAGTGGGACTCGATTCTTCCCGAACGAATGAATCATTGCGGTGTCTATGCGAATATATTTGCACTTATAGACACACCTTGTATAATAAAAATTTTCAAACCGAACAAACAACAGATGACTATTAAAATTTATAAGTGTCCCAGAGAAAGACATTTTATAATAGTTATTTTACAAATTGGTGTTTATGTTTAAAATCAACTGACGATTATACTGATGCAAACTGATTAGTTAGTTATGGAGTCACTAAGGATCTTATGTCACTTTAGTTAAAAGATTAACCATTTAATTTTCGCTAATCCAATCTTTTTTTGAGCTCTGATCGAGACCGGCCCACCGGCCCAACTTTCCACCGGCTCACCGTTTTCCCATATGGCCCATCCACCCCTGCTTATAAACATATTAAACCCTTATAATAAATGCCTTATTTTATATCCAAGAATCCAAAAATGAAATAAAATACCGGATGTTCCATAAGAAAAAATATATAACTTTGGTATGGATCTTAGTTCTGGCACACCCTGTAGATTTCAAAATAATTTTAAATTATGCACATTGCCTTCCCACATATGCCCACAAAATATTTTGTTTCTACATCTTTCCGTTTTCGTATAATCAACCGAGGCGAATGAGGTGCGCCATCCTGTATACATTAAATTAGATTTTTTGATATAGAGTGGTTCTCTTCTGATCTCTAGATTACATTCTCCAGTCCTACCTTTTTCAAAAAGTCTAATAATTTGGAGACTAAACCCTCCTTCTCTTTGTCAATGACTTATATGCCTAATACAATGAACAGTACATTTAGCAGACTGGCGATCTGACATAAAATGTGTTTCTGTCGTTTCTTCTTTAGATTGACAAAATCTGCACGTGACTTCGTCTGTCAATCGTATTAGCTTTACATGTCTATTCAATTCACAATGCCCTGTTAGTAGCACTTTAGAAAAACACCCGGTATAGAAGCTATTTCGTACCTACGTCATTCATTATAGGAGATAGACTTTAAAGGCTTCTGAATGGTGAAAGACCTATAACAGGTTTATAGAAATTGCTGAATTAAAATGTATGTCAGATTGCAAACTACTGAATGGTATTTTCTTAAATTTTAAAGCAGTTACAAAATGGTACATAATGCTCCCACAAAGTTTATATTTTATTTAACGCGTCGATTGTCACTTGTAGAGTAGCCATTTTCAACCTAAATAGAAAAATTTTTAGATTGGGAAGTAGTTTCGAAAAATATAATAATATGCCGGGAATTCCATTTAAAATAACAAAGATCCTACCACTTTTAGTATGAAGCGGCAACACTGTAATGCTGAAAATAATCTATACAGATGGAGCAGGTGCCTTTATGCAAAAATGCAAATTTTCAAAAAAATCCCATCATAGTTCTCCATAAACGTCTAACGTGCCATACGCGTAAATCACCCTACCGGGTGCGTCTCAAAAGTGGCTCACCCCTATAACTATTTTTTTTTTCAGATAAAAAAAACGAGATTTGGTATGTTAGTATATGACATAAATTAGGATTGATTGAGGTATTCAATTATTTTTGGTCACTTCCTGTTTCACCGGAAATGACTACAACTTTTGATTTTTAAATGGCACCTTCCTTATTTTTTTACTTTATTCGATAGAAAATGACATTCTGAATAGAATGACATATCATATGTCAACTTCTGACATTCTCGCTCAATAAAAAATCGTATTTTAAAATTCAATCTAGAGTGCCATGGCTATGTTAAAAACACTAATCCTTAATCAAGGAGCCTTGGAAAAATAGATTTGATTGTCTATTGTTTTAGTCTCTTGTTCTGGCCAGTTAGAAAATGTTCAAATCGTATTTTCAATCATATCACAATTTTTTCAAATGGAACGGGAGTGGCTCATTAGCATTTTTGGAAAAAGCATTTTTTTACAAATAATTTGATACCACATATTTCGAGTCAACTTTTCGTTACAAACCGCAAGTTATAACTTCAAATAAACCATCTTACAACCATATGCGAAAATGTCAAAAGTTGACATATGATATGTTATTCTATTCAGAGTGTTATTTTCTATCGAATAAAGTAAAAAAATACCGAGAGTGCCATTTAAACAGCAAAAGTTGTAGTTTGGTTTGTAAAACAATTGAATACGTCAATCAATCGACAATGTCATATACTTACTAACATACCAAATCTCGTTTTTTTAACTGAAAAAATAAAAAATTTATAGGGGTGAGCCACTTTTGAGACGCACCCGGTATACCATCGGGAGAATTTAAAAAAAATATTTTAAATAAAAAAAAACTATTTTCACTCAGGCGATATTTATTTTGAATTCAAGACAGAAAAATTGAAATAAACACAAACTGTACAAGAACAAAGTATAAACACTTAAGAACATAATTTTTAATATCTTCGTTTTTTTAACGGTATACTGTCTAAATCTCTACTCCTGACCCATAAATCTTGGTCTGTTCGATCTGTTCCATAGTCCCTTGAACGGTTGTTATCACCGTAACTGTTATTATTCATTTCGTAAAACGATCCAAAAGATTTGATATCAGTTTGCTGATCACCTGAAAGTGTATCTAAAATTTATATAAAATATAAAGGTTTGTTCAAAATCATCAAAAATACACCAAGTTTTTTAATATCAAAAAATAATGCCAAATTAATAATTTACTAGATCGATACGATGTGAAACTCTCTAAATCGCTAGTATTCTCTCTTGTAGAAGATGTGGGCACATCGAAATCTCGATGATTGTCCAAAATCTTCGTTAGATCTTGCGCCTTCAAAAACAAGCTTTCCTCTTCCTGCATCAGGTTGCGCTGTTCTTTTTGGCGATTCAATTTGTTTTTCACTTCTTCTTGGGCGTGACGTAAAAACGCCTCCGTTCTCAATTTTTCTTCCTTAAAACATTTGTTTTTTATTAATAGGTTCATATATTGTTAATTAAAGACAATCATTTTTATCAAACTAGTAATGCCTACACGATGCCTATGGAGATTTATTTAAGCATGATTGGCAATCGACAATTTTGTCTAGTCTAATAAATATACTGTCACCTTTTTAGTAAGAAGAATAATAATTAAATTCTGTTGCATTTTATCTTAATAATTGCAGTTTTACTCCAGACAATTTATTGTAGCCACCACAACGAAAGCAGTGACAAACAATCTTGAGTATACATTTCCGTCACAGTTTGTCTAGTACAGCCCCTCCATGAGTACCCATCATTGCAGATTCCGCGATAGTTGTAAGTATGTGTTCAGTGTAAAGCTTAAAATCTCAAAATTGGCGGAATAAATTAATGGTTTCAATTATACTGTATACTTTTTAGTTTACGATCATTCACAATGTGAAAAAAAAATTAAAATTAACAGAATATTCTAGGAACCTCTTGCGATAGTCTCATGTATCCATAGACACAGCCTAATGAAGCAGTTTGTAGGTGGAGTATGCAAACCATACGTATACTCAAACTATAAACAGTATAAATGGAAGCAGATATTTACTTAATTATCAATTATTAGGCCCCAGTAATTGTCAATGGCATTTTCTATTTAGAAAATTAAATCAAGGGGTAATTTTCTTTACTTAAAATATCGAATAATTATTATTTTTTATATATTTTAAGACAGAATTTGTTTATTTTAGCTTTTACGTTATTTTTTAATGCTTTAATTATTTATTTTTACTGAATAAACATTTTTAATTACAACCAATGCACAGCATAACTTGTATTCCAGCTCTTTTACCGATGATGAGCAGTGCCGTCTTTAGTACTATATCGGGCGCCACGGGCGTGAGGCAGCGAAGGGGCCCCTCGGATCTTGGAGGACTTACAATATCACGACATTTTGTCGCAGTATTTCTCTGGAACGGTCGCGAATGTAACGCAGCACATATGTGGAACCGGTATTTCTCTCCATCAGTTTGTCATCACAAGTTACCATTAAATACATGCTAACATTCCGTCGGGGATTTCCAGATCTAATACTGCATGGCCCGTGATATATAACATGGTATACATACATAACCGCGGTATATCTAACATTAACCATTTTTGAGAAAAAAATATTTAAAATTTTTGGACAAAAAAAACTACCTGTAAAAAAATTTGTACAGCCTAAAAGTCAAATTTAGTGATTATCACAGCGACTGTGACATAAAGAAAAGACATGTGGCTATCTATTTCAAAAATTAAATTGTTCAAATGTCATATAATAATGGCGGTAGTTGTCATGGAATTGAACGATTAAAAAATTATCATAAATATTGTTTTTCAAATGGAAACCCACTTTTTTATTTCACTAGTGAAAAGGTTTTTCAATTCATTACGTTTTAACTATACATATTCCTATACCTAAAATAAATCGTTTTTAAGTTATTTAAGATTTACTTTGAAAACGTAAATTTTTCTTGATTTAATCGAGCTTCCTTTGACATTAAGTGTCAAACAGTCAGACAATTTATTTCCATCTGTCAGAAAACGAATTATTTGAATTTCCTATATTATAAATACAGCTGCTTAAAAGTTTAAAAAGTGTATTTATATAAATATATCTCGTATTTTCGCGTGATATCTAATAGTTGATATTTTAATAATATACCGTATGATCGAAAAAAAAACAGCGTAAAGTTGGCTTGGAAATGATCGATAATAAATACTGTCATAGGTTACTGGTTAAAATCATGAAAAATATACGCTTTAAAGCTAAATCTTAAATAGCTTAAAAAGGACATATTTTTGGTACAGAAACATGTATAGTCAAAAAGTTACAAATTTTAAAAACGAAAGTAACGAAAACCTTTTCACAAGTGAAATAAAAGAAGTGAATTTCCATTTGAAAAAAATGATTTATGATAATTTTTTAATCGCTCAATTCCATGATAGCTGCTGCCATTATTATGTGACATTGGGACATCTTCTCTTTATGGTACAGTGGCTGTGGCAATCACTAAATTTGACGTTTAGGCTATATACATATTTTTGACAGGCAGTTATTTTCCTCCAAAAATGATAAATATTTTGTTTTCTCAAAAACGGTTAACGTTAGATATAGAGTGTTTAATATCAAAATTCAATAAAATTTTACAGAGAATTTAAATATGTAATAAAAAATTGGGACACCCATTTAAAATAAGAAAGTTGCTGTCAACTTCCGGTACTTCCGGAAGTGCCGCCATATTGAAAATATTTTTAATCGATAGATCTCGTTGCGAAACAACGATATGCAAAAAATCTCGGATATAGATATTGTAGTTCTCTAGAAACTTCTAATGCAGGCTTAGCCTGGGACACTCTGTATAAATATTTGAATTTTGTCAACCATTATACATACGTCATTCAATTTTTACAAAATGTGTATTAGAAGTATATCATTATCTGAACAGACCGCGGGCCACATTTAGCTTCGCCGCCCCGGGCCCCCGACAGGCTTAATCCGCCACTGATAATGAGATCCATGTATTCATGCATGGTAGACAGACAAAGAGCCCTAGGGTGGGATCCTTGACAGTTCTGTTGACACACTTGAATTTGATTCTTGAATAATTGTTATAACATATCTATTTTTATTAGAATTATACAGGGTCCGGCAATAGTGCGTCGGGCATCTGTAACTCCTAAAATAGAAAAATTGGGAATTTTGTTTAAGTGGAAACCTAAAGTATGTACGAGGATGTATTTCAGGAAAATATTTTAACTTCTATAGTAATAAGTCTAACTATAGGATGGCTCAAAAAAGTGTGAGTGGATCGGGATGATTTTTTTTAAATGGAACACCCTGTAGATTATTGCATTTTGGCTTCCTTTCAGATCACTTTACATTATCCTAAGATATGAGTAAATGCATTTCGATTAGCAGAGATATTAATAAATAAATAAAAAAAAATATATATTTTTCAACCTTCCTTAAAAAAATTATTACAAATACAAAAACTGTCCTGAAATCAAAAACTATATTAGGTATTTACTTTAGATGGTCTATACTTATATATACCTATATAATCAAAAACCCTTCTAAAGGTGTAAGGTATACTAAATTAAATAAATTCACTTAATTGCTACACTATACACAAATTGTTTCCATTTATTTTTTTCGCTTGCTCGACTTTTGGCTTCTGTTAATGTTAGTCCTCTATCCTGCACTATCTTGTCTATTGTGTCATTTCATGTTTTAGTTGGTCTTCCCTTGGTCTCTTTCCATGCATTTTAGCTTCCCACACGCCTTTTACTGGTATGTCGTTGTTCATTCTGATCAAATGTCCATACCACCTAAGCTGACATTGCTCAATTTTATTCAGGATCGAATCTACTTTGGTCTATACTTACTTTGCTATAAATTTGGTAATCTTAAATCATACAGGGTGTTCAAAATTCTACGCCAAACTTTCTCAAATATAAAGTAATTTTTCTTTGTTTTTTAAATGGAACACCCTGTATATTGTTTTTTTATTAGATGAAGAGTTAAAAAATGAACATTTTTTGTATTCTTTTTGTATTCTTTTTTAAAAGTATTTCAAAATTTTTAATAGTTTCGCAGATACACGCAGTATTATTTCATATGGCTCCTTCAACGGTAAAATACGAGAGAAAAATTATTGGGTAGCTTTGATAAAAATTTACTGTAGAAAATGCCATATGAAATATAAAACCGCGAATAAGTATCTGCGAAACCGTTAAAAATTTTGAAATACTCTAAATACAAAAAATGTTGTTTTTTTAATTCTCCATCTATTGAAAAAATAATATACAGGGTGTTCCATTTAAAAAAAAAGAAACATTATTTTATATTTTACAAAGTTAGGCATAGAATTTTGAACATCCTGTATGATTTACGATTATTATATTTATAGAAAAGTTAAGTGCCGACCATCTAAAGTAAATACCTAATATAGTTTTGATTTCACGACTGTTCTTGTATTTTTAATAAAATTTTTAAGAAAGGCTGAAAAATATACATTTTTTATTCATTTATTAATATATCTGAAACTATCATAATAAATTTAATCATATCTTAAGATTATGTAAAGTGATCTGAAAGGAAGCCAAAAATGCAATAATATACAGTGTATTCCATTTAAAAAAAATCAATCCCCATCCACTCACACTTTTTTGAGCCACCCTATAGAAGTTAAAATATTTTCCTGAAATACATCCTCCTAAAATTCCTAAGTTTTTTATTCTAGAAGCTACAGATGCCCGACGCACTATTGCCGGGCCCTGGACCCTGTATATTTTTATAAACATTTTAATAACTACCAACACAAGGTAAAATCAAACAAAAAATTATTGAGTCTACCCTACATCATATTTTTACACGTTTTGAATAAACTTAGAACGGCACTGATCACTGATAAATCGGAATTTAAGTTGGTCATTTTAGGAGCCCGTCGCGTTCGATCTAAAATTTTTGATATGCCCCTTCCTTAATCTTTTTATTCAAAGAATTAGCTTATAAAACAAGAAACTTTTAACTTATAACTACAATTTCTCTTCACCGATGATAATAATCAAAGGCGAAAATGACATTATTTGCAAATTTTGAAGTATAATTAATGGAAAAAGTTAAAGGTGTGTTAACTTTATCTACTAATTGAAAAGTACTACCACTAATTTTGACGTTCTGAATGAGTATATTGAAATTCGAGGAACCAACTTCTACGCTAATTGAAACCATTAATTTATTAAACTCATTTCGAAGCTTACTTGAATATTACAAAATTAAAAAACAAAATAAAAATACCTTGGCTAGTCGTTCTTTGGCCTCCCACTCCCACTTTTGACGCTCCTTGTCCCTTTCCCTAATGCGCAGCTGCTCGCGCAGCACATCTGTCTCGTGCTCGTACCGCGCGTACTCCATCTGCGCCTCAAGTTTTGAACATTCCAACCGGAACTCGACTTTTAGAGCCTCCTCCTTTTGCCGATGGAGCTCGTAGATGGCTTTCCATTTAGTACCGTACTCGTGTTCGAAAGAACCTTCTTCAGCCAGGTGAGGTCCGACAGATCGATCCTTGAAAGGTTATCCAAGGTCTTTATTAGTCAGAAAAATAGTTTGAACAGTCTCTAGGATAATTTATGTTGGGAGCAATTGAATAAGGTTAATTTAATAGTACTATTGCATTATGAGTAGGGAAGTGTACTGTCGAATATGAATCTCGTTAAGTTAATGAAAACATTCCTTCGAGGTCTGTACACTATTTTATTTCAGGCAACGGCCTAGCTACGTTGAAACATTAGCGACAGTTAAGCGACGTAAGGCGATACTGGTGGATGGACGGGTGACCGGTTCGAAACTCTGTATCGTGCTGTTGTCCAAGGGAAAAGTGTAAAATCTATTGATACACACTGCTCATTCACGCCGGTTCGAGGTTGGATGAGATCGGATATCTCGTGAGTAAGAGTTGATTTAGACACTTGCAAAGTCGGTAGGCTATTGACCATGATATGGCCGAGGACCGAGGTTCGAATTCCGCGTAAACAAAGTAGGCCCCGTCCAGATTAGCCCTGGCAGCAAAAAGGAGACGTTAACTGAAATCTTTACTTTACTTTACTATTTTATTTACAACCACACCTGTAATGAAAAAGTAGGTACAATATTTTAGTTTGAAAATAAACTAAAACTGTAGTAAAAATGCCAATTTTTTTTTGGCTTGCTAACCTTTCAAAATAAGTAACATCATGTGTGACATCTTAACAGTTGTTATTGCGCGTTTACATGGAAATTGTAAATGGCAAACTATATTCGATAGCAATTAAACTTTTAGCTACGTAATCGAGGGCGCGATTTTTAAATTCATTGTTGCCAACCATGGACATATTCGGTGCCGGACTGACTAACTGGAATTTAAATTTCCCGCTGGGGATTCAGGTGGTAGCTCTGCTGTAAAAAATGTCAAGTTGCCACATTTATTTATTTATTTCCTGACATTGTCATTCGTTTTGACACTTTAATTTTGTATTACGAGTTTTTGGTTTAAATGAATTGTGTTGTGAGTTGTGACACTTAAAAATGTTTACTAACAGACCTTGGAGTCGAACATTGTTCTTTTTAGAACATCTTTTAGTGCTAAATGTACAAGATAGCTTTATAGCCGTAAAAAACTCATTGCAACTTTATTACAATATTTTGAACGGGAAAGCGGTAGTAATGGCCCTTTATGTCCCTTAAATGCTGTTAAGGAGGTGAGTCTTGTTGATGCAAATATACAATAACTGTTTATATAATTTATAATTAACTTATTTTTGTTTCCTAACATATTTTGATTAAAAGAAAATATGTAAAAGTGGACAACGCTGTGCCGGTCAAGCTTAATCACGTGACTAAAAGTTTATTTGATATGAACTATATATCTCTTTTTGCATAGTTAAACATAACAAATGTTTCATTGATTATAATGCCGATATTTTAAATACCTCTCCACGCACATATTTTTGAAAAAAAATCCTGTTTTCTGATTAGCCAAAACAGATGCGCCACCCTGCGGACATTTTTCATGCAGAACTTGAATGTAATTTCCAGCCATTTCTTACGTGAGACTATAACGGTGGGAGGGTTAACTAAATTTCACGTGGGGGAGAGAGGGGGTTTCGGCAAACATCACGTAAATTTTTTCAGGCATAAAATAGTATAAAAATATGAGAAGATATAAATTGTTATCATCTAGTATTTGTATGCATTGTAAGTCTAGTATAGAGTATAGATATGAGAAATCAGATTATTTTAAGTAAAACATGTTTCTAGAATAATTATACACAAATATGTTACGGTTAAAGTCTGATGACCGGTTAATGTCGACATTAACAGGTTAATGTTTGGGTTTGGTTATGTTTTTGGTCGTTTTGTTGTGTGCAATTCTCGAGATTAACCGGGTAATGTCGACATTAACCGGACATCGGACCTTAACCGTAACATATGTATACCATGCTGGCAACTGTTACTCTTGGGTCGGTATTTACATGTGTGGAAGTAAATCGCATAGGGATCTTATTAAGTCGGAGTGAGAGAAATGCGACGGAGTGCTGTTGCGGCGTTGCCGGTACGCCTTTCCCTATCAAACAAAGTAAAATCACGATCGTAAACCGCATATTTTTAAAAGACTTTTTTTCGAAAAGATAACTAAATAAAATCATTAGAATGTTTCTGAGCATCTGAAATGGAACTATAGGGATATCTTTAGGTTATCATTTTTTTTATAACGAGAAAACGTCAGTAATCGCTATAATTTAATATTCAACTTTTTGACACATAACACATTATAACTCAAGAAACACTTTAGATATTGAAACTTTTTTTATTTTGAAGATAGGATCTTTTACAATATGTTTACATAAGAAAAATTGGATAAGGTTGTTTTTATCCATTCAAAAATTGTAAACAACCCATCTATTTACTTTTAGGGCATAGCAATTTTCAGCAGTCGTGTTTTATTGATAAGGATTTTCACTTACTGCCTACGAAGAAAATACAGCAGAAATATTACGAAAGTTTTTGAAAAAAATACAATCAATTATTTCTAATAGATTTCGAGATATCGCTTTTTGAATTCAGAGTTCTCTACCAAAAATGCAAGTGTTTCTAGCTTGCACTTAAAAATTTTCAAGCTATAGGGAAAATTACAACGACTCGTTAATAAATAAACAAATAAAGTATCACGAGACGTAATTAAATCGTAAAGCTGAACGCATGATGTATGCCTTTCCCTAGAACTTTAAGTACTGACAGAGGTACTGATTGGGTCGACCGGTCAACTGCGACAAATCTGCTATATCCCCTTCCACGTCTCTTAGCAATGTGCAGAACTTCTCGATTTATTTCATACGTTTGGCAACGTGTTTACTGTTCTCTCTTTGTTCAGTACGTTATAAAAGCACAGTACTCTTCTTACATACGGAAATCTCGACCCAAGACTAAAGTTTGCCAGCCGTTAGTATAATTTATAGACGCCTCCTTATCATTCTTTTTTTTTGAAAATTATACAATAAGTACTTTCTGAGATACAGCCAGCATCCATTCTTAGTGGGTCACCCGGTACTTATTTACCCGTTAAACTACCATTATAATGAAGTTTTCAATCCAATTTTTTGTCTATTTTTAACAATATATTTCATAAATTGATGTCAATTTAGTATAAAAATAGACATAATCGAAACTACCGAATCGAACTGCCGAACTGAATCGAAACGACTTTTTCTCGGTTATTTAATTAATTATTTAGGTACTTATTTTTTACTTTTTTTACTATAATTTAAATTTTTACTATAACCGAATATTCCTGCAATGCTAAACAATAAAATCATTACATTAACATACATTATAGAAAATATCACCAACAAATTCAGTCTAAAATGTGACAAAAAATTAAGAAAGTTTTCGTCATAAAAATTCTGTAGTATATTCATAAATTTCTTATAACAAAGACGAAGAAAAAAATATGTAAGCCAATTATTTCCGTATTGGAAACGCCAAGGTCTCGATATTTGAATTGTAAATTAATTTAGCATTAATTATAATCTTGTATCCTCAATATTTTAACTTGCATTGCACTCACACCAGATAATCCAGATAATATAAAAGTATATTATATATGCAGAATTTTATGCTAAAAAAATGGGGGATGCAATTTAAAAAACTTAAAAAACTTTATCATAACTTTTTTTTTGTGACACCCTGTATACAAAAAAAAATAATTTTAGGATATGCATCATTATAAACCATGCAACATCTCTATAAAACTGTTTTCGTATCTTCGACAACAATAACGATCGACGCTTTTAAATGGAAACACCCTTTTCTATAGGAGATAGACAAAAACTAATATCGGTGTTTGAAGCTCAATTTTTGTCAAAAACATGATGGTGAAAACCACATATCGATATCTGTTACCGTTTCGGAGTTACGGGGTGTTTTTCAAAAATATTCATTTTTAACAAATCGCTGTAACTTTTTTGCTATGGAAAATTTTGTATTTTTATGAAAACATTTCCAAAGCACCTTTTTGCGTAGAATTTAATGGTTTAAGTATAATTTTTTTAAAATTAATAATTTAAGAATTATCAATAGAAAATTTGATTGTTTATATGGGACACCCTGTATATTTTTAATTTATTGAAAATAATTTAAAATTACCTTTCCAAAAATAGAACACACTTGATATTTTGCTCGATTCGTCTTCGAGATATAGAGTATATAAAAATTCGCCCGCTCTAAATAAGTAGGCTTTGAACGGCACCGGCTGTAATGCAAAAAAATTCTAGCTGTGAGCATCAATTAAAACGAAAATAATATTTGCTATGAGAGATGCAGAATTTTATAACAATTTAAAATATATTTAACCAACATCAACACATTTAAACTATATCTAATAACAATAAAAATAAATAGCAAACCAAGACATGAGATTTTGCTAAAGGCGTTCGACATAATATATCGACCGTCTTCTGTTATGGACAGACGGGGTAGTTTTTGAACATTTCTCGCGGAATTCATTAACTCAGTGGGGGTGAATTCCCTCTCATAACTGCTAATTCTTAATGCTAATTTAAAGTATTTGTAATTCTTGTCTAGATTATACGGAAGAATAAGGAACCTTTATTCTTCCGCAGATATATCCATAGGATTAGATCCATGGGCACTAAGTCAGGCGGCCTCGACGGCCAACGGCTGAGATCTTGGTTAGCTATTCAACTATTCTTGAAATTGGCTGCAAAAATTTGCTGATAATTTCAGCGTTCAGAGGCCGTGCGTCATCTTACTGGAAAAATATGTTTTCGAGTTCCATTAAGGGCATGTCATCAATAAGGGGTCTAAAGCCTACTAGTTAAAAGTGGCGAACTTTTAAAAATTCTGTATTTCAAAGGGGATTATAACAAAATATCAAGTGTGCTATATTTTTGGAAAGGTAATTTTAAATTCTTTTCAGTTAATTAAAAATATAGAGGGTGTCCTCAATAAAAAATCAATTTTTCTGTTGATAACTCTTAAATTATTAATTTTAAAAAAATTATTCTTAA